ATTTTGACCTCGCATCTAAGTCTTGAGATCAAGCGAACATCCTAATTAGTAAAAGTATTTTTATTTTTTATTTTACAATATCATCGGCCCAAGGGGTGAGTATTTTTGTTGCTTCCGCTAAAAAAGAGAAAATTACACAGTTAAGATTAAGAACATTTGACATAAACATTAATATTAGAACTTACTATCGGTATATTTTCGTCTTTGAAAGCACCACTATTGCATTGTTGCATGAAAAAAGTCGATCAACATCAATATAGGCACCTTACGTGCATGTTTAACATCCCAATTTTTAAAGCCAAAAATTTCGTTTTTTAATTAACTTATAAAATCGCTTACCAAAAACATTGTAGATATTATATCAATCCATAAAACCATAATAAACATGTCTAATATCGTATCATCAGATGGTAATAAAATCAGAGTACAATCCCAAGAATCACATAGGGCGAAAATCTGGTGTGCGTGTGATGTGCAGCTACCCCGCCGGCTCCTTCCCCTTCGCTGAAGAGGTACCTAAAATAAAACTAAAAACTATAAAGTGAGTTTCCCCATCATACCACATACCATACAATCACATAGCATACATACTGTCGGACAATTATGGGGTGCCTAACCTACCTTGTCCGACCATTATGGGGTGCCGATCTACCATGTCAAGCAGTTCTGGGGTGCTGACCTACCCTTCGGTCCTAACAACCGAACTCGGGGACCATTCCCCTCTTACTACCACTATCACATATATCATATCAGGCTAGCACATAAACATATCAGGTAGTAGTAACCTAGATGAATATCACAAAGACAATCATCTAACATACAATTCCTACTAGTGGGCCGACATTGTGGCCATAGACCCACCGCTACTGAAAGGTAACTTACCTCGTAAACTGCGTGTCGAATCTTGCGGAAAAATATTATGTAATCAACTGCTCCGATGACTCCCGGCTATCACAGTCACATTAACACTTAATCAGAGTCTATAACACAACCTAGGGTAAAATGACCATTTTACCCATTGGTCCAATTGGAACATTTAAAAAAATCCCAATCATAGCTTATTAAGCCCAACCCTCCTATGGCCCAACAATACTCCTTAAGGGCCCACTAATGGCCTAATTTTCTAAATTGGGCCCAACCCTTCAAATGGGCCTTTTCACAATTATCCTAAGTCCTTAGCCCAAAATGAAATAATCTTAAGTGGCCTAACGCTTCTAATTCCAAATTCCCAGACTCAAAACTATACTATACAGTGGGCCACAGGGCCCAACAGTCCCGGCCCAGTCCCTTAAGGCCCAAAAACCCAAAATATCCTCTCTACATGCATACGCGTGACGTACCTGGCATGAACGCCCAACGTACGCTTATAGGTGGCAATTGTTGACACGACACGACAAAAATACATGACACGAAATGAAATTGAGACGAAACTGGAATTCGAATTTGTGTTCGTGTTGTGTTCGTGTTAAGTGTAAAAAACACGATGTCGTGTCGTGTCGTGTTCGTGTTTAAAATTCGACACGAAATTGACACAATTAACATTTATTTGTTGTGCTTTTTGTGTTATATATGATTAAATATTAATTAAATAAACTAGTTTTTTTTATCATGTTATCTTTGTCGTTTCGTGTCGTGTTCTTTATTTTTTAATCGGTTCGTTTTCATGTCAGTTAAAAAAAAAACACGACATCGTGTCGTGTCGTGTTCGTGTTACATAAAACATTGTTGTGTCGTGTCGTGTCAGACAAAAACACGACACGATGGCCCGATTTGCCACCCCTACGTACGCTAGCCATGACTAAAACGGGGAGTTAACCCAGTACGCGCGACGTACCAGGGAGTACGCCCAACGTACTGGCCAGCTTCCTTGGGACTTCATTCATGACTTAATCCAGTAAGTCCTTACGTCCAACTGTAGATCCAGGTCCTTTAAGATCTCCTAAACCATAAAGTCACAAACTTTATGTTCTTGCATGCATGGTTGGGAGCGAAACATGATTTTGGTCCATTTAACAAGCTTTAAGACCAACTAGCACTTGCATGGTTGTGGCTTAACCATCAAGATCCGATTTTTATGGTTCTTAGTGCCTCTAAGAGCCCAAAAGGACAACTATTGTGATTTGAAATTGTAAGGATGCAAGAAGCCTCAACAATGGAGTCTAAAAGTAACCTTAAACACCCCCATGAACAAATCTATGCATACAATGGGCAAGTATGGAACTTGATACCTCAAAAGAGTCAGAAATGGTGTCAATCATCTGGATCTACAAGCTCTTGGTGGATCCTTTCTTCTTCTTCAAGCTTCTCACTAACACAACACACAAACACTCTGAAATGGCTTCTAAAACACAAAGGCACACAAAATAAGATAGGGTTTTCATGGTGGCTGGCTAAGAGTGAAGGGAGGCTGAACCAACATGGGTTACGTTCTTTATATAGGGGTAAAACCTAGATCTAAGGGTTTTAGGAGCTGCACACATACGCCGGGCATACTCCTAGTACGCTGGCGTACGTGCATGGCCTTCGCGGTCCTTTTCACTTGAAAGTCCCAAAGGCCCAAGTCCAACCAAACAATTCCCATAATTTAGTTAAGATAATTGCTCATATACCTGGAAAAATCTCGAGCAACATGTCTAGATAATGCATTTATAGACTTTGAACTATTGGAGGATGTAAGATTGTATCGGTTGCCTCTAAAATGTGCCCTAAACCAAGTTTCAGGATTTATACTTTGTAAGTATTCCCATACATCTTCTTTTTTCTTTCTAATTTTGTCCATGGTAACATCAAAAACATCAACTGTATACGCTTTACAGGCCTCTTAAAAAATTGCTTTAACTGTCTTACTCTATCCGTATCTAGATACTATGTTGAAATGAAAATGGACACCACATATTTCGTGATGCGCGTTAGGAAAAATGTTTGCGACAAATGTCGCTATAGATGGAGCCCTATCGGATATAATTGCAAGATCCTCTATATTGCTTATGCAATCATGTAGTTTTTGAAAAAACCATGTCCAATAATCTGTACACTCATTTTTGTATATACCATATGCAACCGGTAATATTTGGTTTTGTCCGTCCTTAGTAACTACAAGTAAGATGGTACCTTTGAACTCCCCCTTTAGGTGGGCTCCATCTACTATAAGGGTCGGCTTACAACAATCGACAAAAGATCGTACCTACAATACACTATGGATCTATTCAAATATAATGATTATAGTTAACTACATCACAAAATTAATAATAATAAAAATATAGTAATACTGATCGAACAACCAAGTGCGATATACAAGAACTCAAACCGATCTTTAGCATCTGTTTGAATATGTGTTACTGTATCGGAATTATGTTTGACCAAATTGTGGAAATAAGCTGGAAGTTTGGTAAATGAATCCTCTTTGATACTCCTTAACATCAATAGTGCATATTGAATTTCACTCCGAGCCTGATGGTACGAGATACTGATTTTCAATTATGTGTTCGCATCGTTAACAATTTCTTCTCCCCAATATACTCTACTATAGTCTTCAGTCAAAACATCAACAAGATATTCACCCAACACATTTTTGTTAGCTTGTCGATGATTAGGTTGCAACATTGTTAAAGAACAGATGTGTACATTAACAAAAAATTTCACTTGGAAAAGTCCATCATAACTTTGATTCCTTTTGCTCTTATTATCCAAGAACAATTTTTCTCAACACACACAACCTCTTACCTTGATTTGTTCAATCTACTTGTCTTCTTCTGAAAACCTTCTTCAAGATAGTTTTTTCCCATTGCCTATTTTAGAAGGTCTTTGTTTTCAAATATCTGGAGGCATTCAATCTTTTGATTAGAGTTACCCTATGTGATGTGATTTTTTCATTACCATCAACGGGACATTATGGTAGAAGGGCCATACCACAAAAAAGGTTATCATAAAACTTACGTTTAGGTTCATCACCTAACTCATCTCCATCAAAATTACTTTCTAAGTCGTTTATATCTAAATCCACATCAGCAAGATCAACAAAATCCCCATAACCATGTAGATTTTCATCTTTTTGAATCATAACTTTTTTCTTTTTAGTTTCAAGTACTCCACCCCTATTGATAACCTTAACTTCTTGTTGGGGAACGTTAACATAACAAGCACCCACGTCATTAAGATATGTAGCAACATCATCATTACCAACGTATGTGCAATTTTTAGGATACACATAGTGAATAAGTGAATGCATCACATTTACATTTTTAGCAATACAATGAAATTGAGGTACACTAGGATTCATGAAAGTACCTATTGAGTTGTTTCTCCATTTATCGCTGGAAAAATTAGCAAGCGCCTCATTTCCTCTCTCGCTATCCTTATCAGCCACCATAAACACTTTCACATCTTTTCCTCCAACCGATTTGATCATCTTGACCAACGTTCTATCATCAATGTCTTCAACAATGACTATTTAATGATTCAATTTAGGATTATGGAAGCGAAGACTAATTTTATATCTATCTAATAAATCGGTTTTCATTTTCACCAAAGATATAAAACCACTATAACTAATATACTTTGAAAATATCAAAATGAATTCAAAAATACCTCTTTGTGGACATAAATATTCAAGATTTATCCGTACAAACTCCCACCTCCCGCCAATTACAACGCAAACAAAATATTCTTTCATTTTTAATATAGAGGTTTTAAACAAATCTTCCAAAAAAAAAATAACTGGTAAATGAAATTTTTTTTCCCAAATTATATATATATCCTACTAATTTTGTAGTAAGACTTATCAATTTTGTAGTAAAAAAAATCACAAATGAGCAGCAGAAAAATTCAGATGGACTGTAGTTCAACTGCGATTTGGAGTAATTTTGTCAATTTTATACCCAACAAATTGATAATTTGTGAAAGTACAACTTTTAATGTACGTCCATGTTTTAACGATTGTACATTTGTACGTCCATGTTTTAACGATTTGTAACGACGTAAAATCACATATGACCCTTATCCATCTACAATTTTGAAGACTATTTTCGTAATGTTATTATTTTTTTTAGTTATTTCTCTCAAATTAAACTAATACTCATGTTAAACCCTAAATACGAGTGAGAGGCGTGATGATGGGTCATGGGACGAGTCTGAAACGTGGCCCAAAGTGATTGCCTTTAAATTACTTTATTAAATCTCTTTTTTCACTCCCGTTAAAACCCAAAGCTTCCCATTCTGCTGCTTTATCGATCAAGAGCAATCAATCCCAAGAGGAAACAATCGTCAGCAACAACTACGCATGGATGATTACAGGGTAAGTAGTTTCTTGATGTTTCCTTTGTCGATTTCTATCTGTTTTTTCAGTCTTCTCCCAATATCGTTCTGAAAACCCTAATTTGCGAACATTATTATGAATACTACATAAAAAAAAACCATGTTCCATGGGAATCTTAAAATCAATCCGTAAGGACGTTTTTCTTTTCAAGCATCATTAGTAATATTTAGATCAAACTAAATTCTTGGTTCTGCACATCTCCATCATTTGATTTTTATAGAGGGGATTATACGAAGTATGTAAAAAAAAAGGGAAAAGAATGTGAATACTTGATACACATATGCATATTCTAAGGTTAAGGTTGAAAGATTCAATAGAGTAGTTGAAGGATGCGAATAAATAACCATTCCACTTGCATGCCTCTAAGATGGTCTTCATATAAAAGAATGAATACAAGTCCCTTTAAGTGCAATTTGTCATTTAGAAATTAGTATACTCGTCATTTAAAAATCTTCAGACATTCGTAGCTTCAAAACTAATTTGTTCATACTGATTTGGTAACATAATTGTAAACAGACCAACCCGTTTTCAATTCGGGTAGATCGGTTAGGGTTTCAGGTTAATTAGGGACAAATTGGTAGTTAGATGATTAGATTGATGCTTCAAAGAATTTACATGCCTATGCTTAAAGTAACAGCAAATCGAATTACTGAGTTTCGCCTTCAAAGAATTTAACACTTTTTTTTTTCCCGAATTTAATATGGTATGGTTATTGGGTATTTTTTTTTGCTTGAAAAACCCCGACAATCAACACCCTCATTTATACTAAAATCAATGTCTATTTTGGTTATGTGCAGAAATACAGTTATGGGGACGAGGTTACTGTGGTTGAGGGACAGTATTCAGGAATGAAAGGACAGTATGTTCATCCAACGCATGCCATCATCTTAGCTGATGGAACGGTAATGTTAAAAATCAAACTTATTATATCTACTAATTAATTAACTGAGTGACTTGCACAGGTAATTCATGTGGATCCATGGGATCTTAATCAAACTTATTATATCTACTAATTAATTAACTGAGTGACTTGCACAGGTAATTCATGTGGATCCATGGGATCTTTGTGCTGCAGTTGATGCCACCTCAAACCTTGATTCGCCTCTTAAACAACCGGAGGTTGGCAACTCTGTTCATATAGAAACAGGAAATTACCATGCCCAAACCGGGACAACTGACAGTCTTATGGGGAAAAGGGAAACAAAAAAAAGATCCCGGAATGAGTAGTCGGTGGCTTTAATGTTAGCTATAAATTAATTTACAGTCTCTTTTTTTTCTCTTCACGTGTAAGGGAACAATAGTGTATCTCTTTGCCTTTATGCATTTTAATGTGTAGTTTTATTTGTTACTTATATTGCTAAATACAATAATTAGCAATATAATTCATTTATTTATTTTTTACAAAGTATAGTTTATTGCTATTAAACGCATTTTTCCCCTTTTAGTATCTAGTTTGTTTCCATTTTAGTTTGTTCAATTACTTGTTGAAATAAGTTGTTCTCCATATTTTATGTAGTTAAAGTTTTTTATTATAATAAAAAATAGTACCAATCTCTTCTTATCAAGGTATTTGATAAGTGATACATAAATATTTAACGTATGGAGTTGAAAGAATAATGAAATTTATTTCAAAGTATAAAACAAAAGTTACGGCGACTCAAGGTTATATATGGAAAAATGAACAGTTGACAATGGTTAAATAGTTCATTGGTTGGTAATTTTTATAGCTTACTTCCGATTGTCGGCTTTTGATTCTTTCATTTGCCATACATTAATTAATAGGGATAACTAATTAATAGGGATAACTACAGTAAAATCCTAATATTTTGGAGAAATTTTTGAAAAAGTTCCAATTTTTTTTTTAATAAAAAAACCCAAAAAACCGGATAATTTAGTTCCTTTTGACCTTTTCAGCAGGTCACACGTATGCCACATGGCATGCCAAGAGGACATTTGCTGATGTATAGTCTATGGTGCTCAAGTGGCATGAGTAGGATCTTGAATATGAAAAAATCGGATTTTTTGAGGGAATGGGATTCGAACCAACGACCCGTCATAAAGAAAAAAACCACCTTTCCACAAGGTTAGAACAAATTTTATGATTTTAATCCTCAAACTTGGTATATAACGTTATAAACACATAAGACTATGATTTTCCAAGGAAAAAGAGATAGTGAGAATCGGACGCACAGCCTCTCACACACAAACCACCAACCTTCCCATCAGGCTAGAAATCACTTTCTTTAATCATTCCTCAAAGTAAATATATAATGTATAAAAAGCATAAGCCTTAAATACATTTATTAGTATTATTATTAAAAACGTAAATAATTTTAATATATATATAAACTTATTTTTTAGGTTTTTATATACTGCTTTACAAATTTATGTATTTTTTTAAGTATTTTTATATATTATTTTACATATTTTATTTATTTTAAATGTATAAATATATTTTTTACAAAATATTAAAATTATTTACGTTTTTAATAATAATAATAATAATAATAATAATAATAATAATAATAATATATTTTTTTTGCAAAATAAGAATACTAATATATTTTTGCAAAATATTAAATTAAGTTTATATATTTAATACGTAAAAAAAATAAGTTTATATATTTTTGCAAAATATTAAAATTAATTACGTTTTTAATAATAATAATAATAATAATAATAATAATAATAATAATAATAATAAATGTATTAAAGGCTTATACTTTTATACATTATATATAGTTTTGAGGAGTAAATGCATAGCTTGTCTTCTAGCCTACTAGCCTAATGGGAAGTTGGTTGGTTTGTTTATTAGAGTTTGTGGGTTCGAATCATATTGCCTCATTTTTCTAAAAATAAATTATTTTTTCATATTCAAGATTAACTTGCTGATGTGGCATGCCATGTCAGCACCCCTATCAGCATATGTCCAGTTGGTACGCCATGTAGCATGAGTAACCTGCTGAAAAGGTCAAAAAGAACTAAATTGAAGGAATTATCCGGTTTTTTGGGTTTTTTTATTAAAAAATTTTTTTTGGGGATTTTTTCAAAAGTTTCTTCAAAATATTGGGACTTTACTGTAGTTATCCCTAATTACTACTAACTTTATATAATAAACTGATAGTTTTGTCATTACTTTGTATTTAATGTTCCATTAAATGCTTAGTTGGCTAAGTAATAATGAGGGAGTATTATGATAAAAATGTTATTTATTTTTAGAAGTGGACTATTATTTTGGGACAACCTAAAAAGAAAACATGAACTATAATTTTGGGACGAAGGGAGTAACATATTGTTGATTTAATAACAATGTTTATAATTGAAAAGTGGTGCACTTGAAAAATTTTCTTTTATGGGGACTAAATTTCAATCCAAAAAACTATTAAATATAAAATAATCTTAACATGAGTTAATAGAAAATTTGAAATAATAGTAAATTGTTGAAATCGTCCTAAAGGTTTGGTCAAAATTACATATTTGGTCTTTAATTTTTTTTTCTACACTTGGATCGTCTTTGTGGTTTGATTTTATTGCGTTTTTCGTCCCTTATATATATAAAGTTACGGACCAAATGTGCAATTTTGACCAAACCATAGAGTCGAAAAACACAATAAAATCAAAACATAAGGAGCACTTGAAAGTTTTCTTTTATTGGGACTAAATTTCAATCCAAAAGACTATTAAATATTAAATAATCTTAACATGAGTTAATAGAAAATTAGAAATAATAGTAAATTGTTGAAATCATCATAATTGTTTGGTCAAAATTACATATTTGGTCTTTAATTTTTTTCTACACCTGGATCGTCTTTGTGGTTTGATTTTGTTGCATTTTCCGTTCCTTATATATAAAGTTATGAACCAAACGTGCAATTTTGATCAAATCATAGAATCAAAAAACACAATAAAATCAAACCATAAGGACAATCTAAGTGCTAAAAAAGTTGTGACCAAACATGTAAATTTTACCAAACCATAAGGATGCTTTTTAGTAATTTACTCTAGAAGTTAACAAAAAACTTGAAAATGAATGCAAGATCAAAAAAAGTCTTATACTAAAAACATATAATTATGTTTGAAAAAAATAACAATTTTGATGATTTTGATTGATTTGACCTTTTTGACATTTTTTGTTTTTTTAGACAATATACTAATATTAAGCACTAATATGAAACACTAAAAACAAAAAGATAAAGGTTTTTGTCTGTGGTTCCAACTATTCGTGGTCAAGTAAATACATAAAAAAATTGACAATTTTAGACGTTTTAGTAAATTTGTTGATTTATTTTTTGTCATTTGGATGCGTTAAAAATGAACAAAAAAAAACTTTATAATGATACGAGAGTTGTATAGCATGAAGTATAAATAATCTTGAAAATAATGATAATTTTGATCTTTTTGGTGAGCATTTTAACAATGTTGGTTATTTTTTTTTATCAATGTTGTTTTGCATCTAATAGCATCCTATTTTTCTCACTTTTTATTTAGATTTGGTTTAGTGAAAAAAGATTACAAATTATCTAAAACTAAAGTACATTGCTATTTGATTATGTGTGTAAAATATATAAAGATTTTTTATTTTAAAGCCCGCATCTAGTTAAACAAATATGAAAGATGTCATTAGGCATCTTCATATAGTACAAAAAACAAACATTAAAAAAATACCCATTGTGCATAAATGATCACGTATATTAAAAATCATAATTTAAAAGTAACATTATCCATAAATCGAGCTTTAAACGTACATGGGCTAAAATTAGAAAACAAATATCACACGATACTTTTAATATAATTAGCTAAGACTACAAAAGAAAAACATATGCAAGAACACATAAAACCAATGATCTGAAACCTCACCTATCATAAGGACTGTGATCAGGAAGACAAGTACAAATTTTTATCATATATTTCACAAGTAGAAAAGTGAATCAACTTCTTATTATACAACAGTACCTAACCTAAAAAGTGAAAACAACAACAAACATCGTTAATGTATGTATTGTTGAGCACATATTATCTTTTGGATTGTATACCCACTATATATTGTACATAAGATCAGGGCATTTTAAATATACAAATCAGGAGAAAACCGGACTTGTATAAAAAAATGATAGAGCAAGTTGGCAAGAAACATGTTGCTTCATAAGGGGAATGGGCTGCTAATTTTGTTGGGAATTTTCCTTGTTGATCTTTCTGAGCCATTGGCATAAAGATAAAAAAAGAAAATGTTTAGTTATAAATATACATTTATTGGTTTAAAAGTAGCAAAAAACAATACTTTTAATTAGGGATGAGCAAATGGACCGGGTAACCGGCCGGAACCGGTACCGGAACCGAAACCGGCACCGGAACCGGAACCCAATGGAACCGGTCGGGCCGGGACCGGGACGTTATTTTTGTAGATTTTTGGAACCGGGAACCGGTAGGAACCGGAACCGATATAACCGGAACCGTATGATGTTATTTTTCAAGGACCGGTTCCAACATTTGAAGACACGACAAGAACCGGTAGGAACTGGGAACCGGTAGAACCGGACCGATAGAACCGCCGGGCCGGTTCGGTTCTTGATTTTGGCCGAAGCCGGTTCCCGGTTCCGGTCCGGTTCCGGCCGGTTCGGTCCTTTTGCTCATCCCTACTTTTAATGTTTAGACTTTAGATGCCAAGCCAATTCCCCACTCAAACTTGTGATGGAGAGATTTAATGATAAAACCATAGTAACATTAGAAATAGAATATGTTTACGTTACCAAAGGGATTGTAGCCCAGCGGTATCAGGTGGTGCCCTCCCTCTTTGAGGTCGAGGGTTCAAGTCCCGTCATGAACATAGGTGGAATAGGTGTTGTTAGCTTAGGAGTAGATTAGATTTGCCGGTTCAAAAAAAAAAGAATATGTTTATGTTGGTTTTTGGAGAATTAGAAATTTAGAAAATAAATAGAAGCACTACCACCTATCATAATCCCATAATCCAATTTTAAATTATAAAGAACAATATAACATTATTATCTACTCAAATCCATATTGGAACCAGACATAAGCAAGCATAAAATAAAGTAAAAATAATAATAATAATAATTTAGTGTCAAATAAAGAACCAACATTTCAACCTTTCAAGAGGTGTTTTAATTTGAATTTAGGGTGCAAAATAGTATTTCTTCCTACTTCAAGATTTAAGTAAGTTATATTAAATTCCTCAAATAAAACAAATTAAAAGCATAACCGCATTAAGTAACTACAAACTATAGTATAACAATGACTAACCTTTGACTTTATTAAGGTATTCTTTTTACCTTTCTGGTTACGTACATCCCACATCATGTATGAAAATGATGCTGATCTTGGAGGATGTAGGTTGGATAGAAAGAGTACCACTGGAGGATGCCAATTTCTTGATGGCAAACTTGTCAGTTAGCAATCCAAGAAGAAAACATGTGTCTCCTT